CTGTCTACCCTCACTGAGGCAGAGACCCTGGTTGGGTTCCTTCTCCTCATTCCCTCCTGTCCACCCTCACTCCAGGCAGAGAACCCGGTCGGGCTCCTTCCCTCCCTCCTTTCCACCCTCCCTGAGGCAGAGACCCTTGTTGGAGCTCCCTTCCTCCCTCCCTTTTTCCTTCTACCTACCCTCCCTGAGGCAGAGACCCTGATCGGGGCTCCCTCCCTCCTTCTCTCCCTTCTATGCACCCTCCCTGAGGCAGAGATCCCAGTCAGGCTCCCTCCTTCCCTCCCCTCGCTGAGGCAAAGTCCCTGTCTGAGCCCTCCCGTTGCTCCCTCCTGGGAAAGAGCCGAAGAGCTTCGGTCCTTCTGCAGCCTCCAGCCCAGTGTCTGATGCTTGACTTACTTCCAGGTTTCCAGACCGATTTTTTGGGGTTATCTCACTTTCCTGATGTCATGTGAAGGCATCAGGAAGGGCTGCAGAAGGAGGCTGACGTTAATCCTAGCTGTAACCTTGTAAACAAGTCATTCGTCTGCGCTTGTGGAAAGTTTTGCATCTGCTTATTAAAATAGTGTTATGTGGCAAGACTTCACCTGGCTCTGTAGTGCTGGGGTGCCAGAGTGCTGTCCAGATGGCATCTGGAGGGTGGGAGGGCTGTCAGGGTAGTGTTTGGAGAAGGCAGCTGAGCAAAGCCCTTCCCTTAGTGCAGCCTTCATTGGCAGCAGCTCATCTGCTGCTGGATTACTTTCCTCTGTTAGTGTGCCAACAATAATTCCTCAATGGTTGTCATGCGAGTCAGGTGATTGTTTTCAGCATTAGAGATCACTGTTGTTGTCACCCTGTACAAAGGGAGCCGTGTTTGCCTCCTCTTCCTCCGAGGCAGGTTGATCAGAGGATGTGACTTGAGGTGGTGGGCAGATTCACGAGGAGACAGGCTACTGACTGTCAGTGTCAGTGAAGGAAGAACAATTTCCCAAGGCAGAGTATTAGTAACTAAAGAATATGGACTACTGTTTGGACTAGCATGTGGCCAAGAAGGCAAATAGCATCTGGTTTAGGTCAGCACCAGTGTAGCCAGCAGGACTAGGGCAGGGATTGTCTCTCTAGACTCGACACTGGTGAGGCTGCACCTCAGGTACTGGGTTGATTTGGGCCCCCTCACTCCCAGAAGGACCTTGAGGGGCTGGAGCGTGGCCAGAGAAGGGCAGCGAAGCTGGGGAAGGGTCTAGAGGCCAAGTGTGGGGAGGAGCAGCTGAGGGAGCTGGGGGTGCTGAGCCTGGAGCAAAGGAGGCTCAGGGGAGACCTTCTGGCTCTTGACAACTACCTCAAAGGAGGCTGAAGCTAGACAGGGGTTGCTCTCTTCTCCCAAGCAACAAGTGATAGGACAAGAGGAAATATTTTCTAGTTGGACATGAGAAACAATTTCTTCCCCTTGAGGGTTGCCCAGGGCTGTGCCAGGCTGCCCAGGGCAGTGGTGGAGTCCCCACCCCTGGAGGGGTTTCCAAGCTGTGGAGATGTGGGGTGAGGGACACGGGGCAGTGGGGACCTGGCAGTGCTGGGTTAGACTTGATGATCTGAAAGGTCTCTTCCAACCTGAGCAATTCTATGATTCATGTATTAAGCTGTTCTGGTAATTTCCCTCAGCTGCATGCCTTGATGTAAGGAATAAATCTGTACAGGAAGTGGTTTCTTGTTGCTGTTCATTCTTTATTAATAAGAGCCCTACTGCTCTTGGGGGAAGGGGGTGTTGTAACATGCTAAAGAGATAATTTTTCCCATTTTTCCTGGTCACTGATTGGCAGTAAGAATTACTTCTTACTGAACAGATCAAATTTTTTACACAACACAGCTTGGATAAACTTTCCTGCTTATGGTTTCATTTTTTTGTTGGTTTTAAATTGCAATTAAAAGTAGCATGCAATCAAGTTTTGCCAGATCATCTCCTTTCAGTTTGCTTCCTTGTGCATCTGTCAGGTCTGTAATTTAGTCAGTTTTGGTGCTTCTTCAAAGAGCCTTAGGAAAAAGCTGGATTTTCAATGACAGAGCAAAAGGGGCAAGTTCCAACTGTCAGTGTCATGTCACAGTCTACAGAACCACTTTTCTCACCTACAGTTACAGTTAATGCTTTGCAGTAGTTGTCAGATACTCATATTGCTGTTGCTTTCTTCATTTTTTAAAACAAATATTAGAACATACATCATTTTACTGAGATTAAAGTTACTTTATTCTTTTCAGACAGTTCATCTGACATTACAAAACCCTTAGAGGTCAGCTCGAACTCCAAACCCTGGTCCTTTGGGTGGTTCTGTCAGGGAAGTGAGGCCACCAGCTGGCTCACAAGAAAAACGGCCACTCCTGGAAGACAAAAAGCAGTTTGATTTGGTGCTGTGACTGCAGAGACTGTTTCATCGCTGGATAGAAGGTAGTAGAAAATGGGAAATAATAGATAAGTATAGAAAAAACCCTTTTACAAACCTGTGTTCTGGTTTTTGTCAGAATAATTAAAAAAAAGCCCTCCAGCTGTTTATTGATTTACAGGATCTAGACCAAAAAAAAGGCAGCAGGTGCTACCATTCACCTGTAGTTACTCAGCCACATCAGAATTTGTCTTTCCACATTTCATGTCAGTTAAGAACAGGAAAATTCAGTTCTTTCCAGGTTTTTTTTTTTGGGCTTTTAGTATACAGCAAGGTATCAAGTAGGTGCCATTGTGGTCACTGATGCAACTGATGCTTTTTAGCTGTGGAGTGAATAAGTTTCTCAGAAGAACCAGCCTTCAAGGAATTAGCCAGTATTAGACAAGAGGAGCATACCTTGGGCCAGGTTTGGGGACTTTTCCAGCCTTCAGCTCATCGATTATGTCTTCAATGTCTTTGGGTGTCAAATCTTCCTATTAAAAAACAAAAGTAAAAGATCATTGACAAAAGAGAACGTCAGCTAACTGCAGCATTCAGAATTCATCAGAGGAGAGGCCTCTTTGGGGAATTCTGATCCCGGCCATTAATGCACAGGCTGGTTTAAAAACTGAGGAACATTTAAAAGCCTATTGTCATTTTAATGTTAAATATTTTGCTTTAAACAGAGTTACAGAAGGGATGTTCAATGTAAATGTGCATGTGGGTCAGCTGGGAGGTGGGTTTGTGTTTTTAGGCTCTTCTGTATTTAAAACCTGCAGATTCTAAGTGGTCCCTGCCAGTAGGAATTTGAAATAACTGCCCAAAACTTCAGAATCTGAAAGAAATACAAGTAAGCCAGCAATGACTTTTAATCTTTCAGTGGGGAAGGAGATGCTTACGTAGTAATTGTCGTTGATCTGGACCATGGGGGCGTTCACACAGGCACCCAAACACTCCACCTCAATCAGAGTGAAGAGCTTGTCAGGGGTCGTCTCCCCAACCTTGATCCCTAAACCAACACAAGAGGAGGAGAAGGAGGGAGAGCATCACCTGAGTGTGCTGATACAGACTGTCACTGCAGCGTCAAGGGCTGGATTCCCAAATCAACCCAGGGCTGGATTCCCAAATCAACCCAGGGCCAGGGATGAATTTCCAAACAGCTTCCAGGTTTATTTCCTGGACACGTACCCAGCTTCCAGAACAGGTTATGTTCTAGTGGTAGAGATCCAGACCTTCCCCAGAGGGCAGCTTAACCAGAACAGCCAAGATCTCAGCAAATTCCCCACAGAAGGAAGAAGAGTGAAAAGCCATTTTCCTCCACAGTTATCAGCATAGGGAAAAAATTATGTCAGATTAGGGCCTGTTTCTCAGCACGAGCTGCACCATCACCCTCAGTGCTTTCATCTCTCAAAATAAGAGCTTCAGTTAAAATTCACCTGTGCAGCAGCAAAGACAAATTTCATCTAAATATGCCCTTCCAGACAACAGAATGAACTATATGAAATGGGAGAGTGGCAGATGTCCCTGCTGGCTGCAAGGGCTTGGGTCAGAGGACCTGTAAAGGTCCCTTCTAACCAGCAGCAGGGCAGGGAGGGGATCCTGCCCCTCTGCCAGCTCTGGGAGACCCCCCTGCAGTGCTGGGGCAGCTCTGGAGTCCTCAGCACAGCAGAGCCAGGGAGCTGCTGGAGCGGGGCCAGAGGAGCCCCAGCAATGCCCCGAGGGGGGAACCCCTCTGCTGGGAGCCCAGCAGGAGAGAGTTGGGCTGGGGCAGCTGAGAGGAGAAGGCTCCAGCTGGGGAGACCTGCTGGGGGCTGCCAGGGCTTCAAGGGGGCCCAGAAGAAAGCTGGGGAGGGACTCTTTATCAGGGAGTGTAGGGATAGAACAAGAGGTTACAGTTTTAAACTGAAAGAGGGTAGATTTCAATTAGGAAGTTATTCATGGGGAGGGTGGTGAGACACTGGCCCAGGTTGCCCAGAGAACCTGTAGATGCCCCATCCTTGGAAACATTCCAGGTGAGGTTGGATGGGGCTCTGAGCAACCTGCTCCAGTGGGAGGTGTCTGTGCCCATAGAACGGGTTGGAACTAGATGATCTTTAAGATCCTACTCAAGCATTTCTATGACTATCACCTTAACTAAAAAATCCTCTCACAAACAACTTGGACAGAGCACATACCTTAAAAATCTTATTTTGCACATAAAGTGCTACAGCATTCCAGGTCTTCTCATGTATCTATATGGGATAGGGCTTCATTTCTCAGCCCAAGAGTCATGGAATAACACATTTCATGGCAAGCTGCCTTTGAAACAACTTTAAGGACACCAACTGGCACTCCAGACAATGGCCTTTTCTGCTCTAGTGTGCTAAAATCTTTAAAAATGAAGAATAAATATCAAATCTGACATTTGAGGTATTTATCACTGACCTGCCAATGATTTCACTCTGCATTTTAATTATAGTTGCTCTGTCCCCACCGTATGAAAAAACTGACTTGGGTATCATTAAAAAAAGGTAAAAAATAGCATAAAAAGCATGAGGGAAACGTGGCTCCTACCAAGTTTCTTCTGGATGGCTTCCAGGATGCTGTCGGAGTCGCGCAGCATGCAGGGCGTGGTGGTGCACACCTGGATGTGGTACCTGCCCACCGGCCGGCGGTTGTACATGGTGTAGAAGGTGGCCACCTCGTACACCCTCATGGGGGGCATCTCTAAAACCTCAGCAACCTGCACCCAGGGGAAGAAGGACACTGGCATCAGTTCTCCCAGGGTGCTGAGCAAAGCAATGCAGTCATGTCACCTGTGCTCCACCTGCAGGTAGGGGATGGGCATCAGAGCACAGCTGTACTCAAGTGCCAAGAAAAGACACTGGAGCTCCCACAATCCCAGCATGGTGGGGTGGGAAGGGACCTCTGGAGATCATCTCATCCCACCCCCTGCTCCAGCAGCTCACCCACAGCAGGGTGCCCAGGGTCACAGCCAGGAGGGTTTGGGATCTCTCCAGAGCAGGAGACTCCACAGCCTCTCTGGGCAGCTGCTCCAGGCTCTGCACCCTCACACCAAAGAAGTTTCTCCTCCTGTTCAGACAGAACCTCCTGGGTTCCAGTTTGTGCTTAATGCCACTTGTCCTGTCCCTGGGCACCACTGACAGAGTCTGGCCCCAGCCTCTTGACCCCTCTGGGCCCTTTAGATATTGCTCAGCATTGATCAGATCTCCTCTGAGTCTTCTCTAGGCTGAACAGCCCCAGGGCTCTCAGCCTGTCCTCAGCCCAGCCGCCCACCATCCCCACAGCCTCCACTGGACTCTCTCCAGTAGCTCCTTGTCTCTCTTGACCTGGAGAGCCCAGAACTGGACCCAATTCTCCAGAGGTGGCCTCACCAGAGGAGAGTGGGGTAAGAACCTCCCTCGACCTGCTGGCCACACTCTTTTTCATGCACCCCAGGAGACCACTGGCCTTGGCCACAAGGGCACCTTGCTGTCTTGTGGTGAACTCCTGTCCCCCTAGGACTCCCAGGTCCTTCTCTGCAGAGCTGCCTTCCAGCAGGACCTGTCCTGTGCAGGGGGTTATTCCTCCCCAGGTGCAGGACCCTATGCTTGCCCTTGTTGCACTCCATGAGGTTCCCCTCTCCAACTCTCCAGCCTGTCCAGGACTCTGGAGTCACCCTGCTGGAGGACAGACTCCACCAAGCCGTGGGACAGCACAGCAAGGAGCTTGTCAGCTCCCCTCCAGCATCAAGCACCAGCAGCTGAAAATGTGCCCCTCTCTAACCTGCTGGAGGACAGACTCCACCAAGCCATGGGACAGCACAGTGAGGAGCTTGTCAGCTCCCCTCCAGCAACCAGCATCAAGCACCAGCAGCTGGAAATCTGCCCTTCTCTACACATGCATTTAACTCCCTTGGTCATTTCTGTAACTCTCACAACCCTCACTTAACATATCTTGACTGAATTTAAAAACTTCTCACTTTAAAACTGACAACATGCCAGATCATAACAGAAAATCGATCAGTTTATTTATATGAGATTAACCAGAACTTTTTATTTCCTGGTCTTTGATGACTGCCACAAAGACACTCACTCTGGAGCAGAGTGGCTGCTTGTTTTGAAACAATAAATAATTTGCTATGGTTGGTGTCATTTTTGTGGTGTTCTGGAGTTTCTAGCAATAGGCAAGTTGTGTGAATGAAAAAGAGAAAAGGGTTCTCCCTTTTATCTTCTCAAATGCAGCCTCACAGGGAATTCTCACCACTCTGCCAACTCCCACATCAGTATGCTTTGATACAAACCCCTTAATCTTCTAGTAAAAGATTTAAAGAAAACCTAAATTTAGGCTTAAAAGCTAATGGAGTGCTAAATACCTTGTTCATAGCTGATATGGGCAACCAGCCGTGCTGCCTCTGGGCCAGATCCAGGACTGCCATGACAGCTGCAGACTTGTGTCCCTCAGGGTAGCTGCTCACAATGGCTTCTATTCGCTTTTCAAAAGGGAAAAGGAACAGAATCACTCCAAATCTTAACACAAAGTCTGTGCCTTTTAACTTTTTATTCATCCACATACCTTTTTGTTCTCGGGTGTGAACTCAAATGGCGTATCTGGGTTGTTTTCAGGACTATCTCTGTGCTTCAAGAAAAGAAAAAGGGTTAAAATTGGGTTGTTAGGAAATTATTCAGCACAGATTTACTGTTGAAAAATGTCTCCTCATTAGACAGCTACAGCTGAGTTGTTTAAATAAATCCAATTTGATACAGTCCAGATAAAAATGTCATAGTACTCAGATCAAAATTGACTAAATACCTCTGGGAAAGTTATCAAAAATATCAACAATTATTTTATCACTCTTTAAAATAACTTATTCCTGTTATTTCCTATTGAAAAGATTATTTCTTGAGGAATATGGTGTTGTTATCAAAATAGGCATTCTTAACATTGTTAATACAGTTTGGCAATTATGTTCAGACTCATCACAGGTCGATTAAGAGTCCTCTGGTTAAAGCCTTAACAAACAAGGAAATAAAATAGCAGCTGATATTTCTTCTTTTCCCATGAGACATTAAATATAAAAACTTTAAAACTCATCAAGAAGCTTGCTGTATAAAATGTCTGCACATTCAAACACATTATTAGCTCATTTTAACATATTCTTTTCATCTGTAATAGATTTCAACATTTTCATTTTAGATGCAATTCTGAAGCAGAATGGAAGCAGAATTTTTTAGTCATATTTCAAAAAGAAGGGATTCTATAATAGAATTTTTAAAGTGATCTTCTGGGGAAACATCAAATTGAAATTGGTTCTTTTTTACTTTCAGAAGACAGAAATTTTGAAGCCTTGAAGAAAGCAACATTTCCATGTAAGAAAATCTTAGTTCTAACAAAAATCTTCGGCCACCAGAAAAACTCCCTGCACAGATTTTCCTGCTACCTCTAAGCAGCATGTTTATGGGATCCTTGAAATACTCACAGACAAGTTTAATTCCAAACTTTGATCAGTTTTGGTGGTTTCAAACAGAACAGGAAGTTTGGGGGGAAATGCAAGCTATGCTTGAGGCTTGATGTGAGAAGTAACCCCCAACCAGCTAATCATAAAAGCTTTAGAAGTAAATACACTAATGATGATAATAATAATAACTAAATAAATATTTAGGAGAAACCCACTGCCCAGAGTTTCACTTTGATGATCTGAAGTGAGCCAGAGTGACCTGGCAGCTGCCACACCACGTTCTTGTTACCAAGTGAAGGACTGGGTGAAAACTCTGGCTCCTCATGGGTAGTGTTGGTGAGGGGGTTCTACCTGTTTTGACACAAATCCTCAAAAAGAGGCTGATGGAAGAAAAACCTGATTGGAAATACTGCCTGAGTCTTTGTTTTTTCCTCCCAAACGCCTGTTTTATGTCTTAGCTGCACAGATAGAATTTGTGACTCGTGGGATCTCCATCACTTAACTGTTCCCTCTCAACTCTGCATGTCTGTTTGACTGCCTCAAGCTCTGAATGGAGCAGAATGCAGCTAAAGACATCTCTTGGAGATGCTTCACGTTCTCTTCACTGTATAGACACAAAGCCAAAACCTAAAATAAAAGCTTTTGATGAATAAAACTCTACTGAAAAAAAACACAACACTTCTTTGTAAATGCCAACAGGCTTCTGTAGCCAAGTTCTGTCCATAGAAGCTTTTAGGCTCTCAAAAAGGGTACAGCAAACCCTCAGTGCCCCCCTTGCAGGGAGGGAGAGATCACCCACCACGAACAAGGCTCCTCCGCTGGAACGCGGCGCTGCTGTCCTGTGAAGGCATCTCACCTGTGTTACCTACAAACAATTAAATGGATAGTGTTAATCATCAGGAATTTACACACTGCTAGTGGCTGCTTTCAGAGGCAGCTTGATTTCTAGGCTGACCTTAAACTGCTCATTCTGCTGTCTTTGCTAGTCACATAAATTAAGAAGAGACTATTAAGGGCTCTCCTGCACTGCCAGTAGAGCAAAGCTCTTCACTCACCTTCATCACTTCAGACAACGTAGATGTTAAATGATTTAACATCAGATTACCTGCCACAGCATCATATAAGTGCCTTGAATATTATTATCAAGTATTTCATGAAGAATTTTCCCATTTATTACTTTATCTCACATACACTTTAAACTGTGTGGCAGCTACCACTGCTACCAAGGGTCTCTCATTTACACATGTATTCAGCTTTTAGCTGACTCAGCAGTGACATCAGCCCCATGAGGACAAACATCAAGTGAATACAAACCTGAAATACCAACCAAGCACAGACCCCCCCATGCAAGTTGTGCTCAGCTATTCTCCATCTGGAGCCCTCATGCCAAAGCAGATAAACATTTCTAGACTCTGGTCTGTATTACTGAGACCATTTACTAATATTATCTTGTCCTAAGTAATCATTCTGTAACAAATCTAATTTTGTATTATTTTAATATTGAATTCTAGATCAATTTTGAGATTCTTAAAGCACAGCATATTTAAAAAAAAAACTCCCTCCTTAACTACTTAATTTCTGCCACTGTATAAAACCTGTGGGACAAAGTAGATCAGCATCAGTCGAGCAGAAAACCCAGTCACAGAATCACAGCCTGGTCTGGGTTGGAAAGGACCTTCAAGATCCTCCAGTTCCAACCCCCCTGCCATGTCACAGGGCCAGAGCTGAAACACAAGCCCAAGTCCCAGGGCACTTCAGTCCCTGCTCTCCTCCAGGAGCCTCCCCATCAGCTCAGGCGTTTCAGCAGCAGGTCAGAGGGTTCGACAGGACTCTCTCAGGGAACGAGCCGCCAACCGGAGCGCTCTCAGGGAGCCCCATGGAACATTCAGACACAAGACTTGAAGCCTAAGCAGAGCATGCAAATACAAATGACATTCCGGAGACAACGCTGAAAGGAGCACATAAATGAGGCTGTGACACTGGTATAAATCAGCCCGAAAGGTGAAGTAAATAGAGCATCTATGTAAGCAGAACACCTATGTCAAGCAGAACGTCTGTGCAGCGTTCCTTGGAAAGGAAGCACTTCAGACAGACCCCTTTATTCAACCCAAAAGCAGAGCTGCGTTTAAAATAGAGCATCTATGTAAGCAGAACACTTATGTCAAGCAGAACATCTATGTAAGTAGAACGTCTGCGCAGCGTTCCTTGGAAAGGAAGCACTCCAGACGGACCCCTTTATTCTACCCAAAAGCAGAGCAGCGTTTGCAAGAGCCACACCTGTAAATTCTTCAAGCTCGAAGGACAAACAGGACGAACCCCGGGGGTGTGAGGTGGCAGAAAGGATTTCAGGTGCTGTGAAGAGCTGACGCAGGACTGAAAAAAAAAAACCCACACAGAGACACACTGATCACTGACACCGATACCGACGCGACCCTCCCCA